AGGTATTCTAATAATACCTCTCAAATTGATACATCCAATAGAACTGCATTGGTCCCCTCACCTTGGCTTCATAGGGAAAATGGATTGTTAGATTATCCATCGAATCAAAACAAAGAAGGAAGATTCTTTCAAGTTGGCATATTGTTTCTACAATCTTGACATGCCAAATCTTTGTATTTGTAACACAAATGGCCAGAGAACATAAGGCTCTGAAAAATTCACTTATCTCAATAAGTGCTTCCCACATTAGCTTTGGGAGAAATCATGGAATTTAATTAAAAGGAGACTTTGCATGAACATGTGACAATCATGACTTTTCATCCAACTACCTTTTGCCTCTTGCATATTCACATACTAAGAGATGTTGGATGCAAAACTAGCAGGAAATTTAAGATTCTTTAGCCATTAGCACACCAATTTTCTTTGCTCCCTATTTAAGACATAAGTGGCCTTTAATTTTTTTACTCGCATTAAAGCCTCTTTCTTGTATACAAAGACTTGGTCTATTGCAATACAATTCCATATCCATCCTTGCCTTCAAGTTGTCCTTAGTCAATGAGTCATCCATAACGATGTGAAAGATATTATCAAAAAGGTTTTTCCCACAAGGCATTACATCAAGGTTACGACGAATTAAGTTTGTCCTCTAATAAGGAAGCTCCCAAAAGATACTCCTTTGAACCCAATTATGCCAATTACCATATCCTTCAATCACCTACCTTTGGGATGGCTTCCCAAATAGTATATCGAGCAATTGCTGAATTTGTCTATACATATCATCACTCAATAATCTATTTGATGGAGCAAGGTTCTCTACACGGCATTTTTTAAAATCATTCCTATTTTTTCGAATGGATGATCAGGGGGTAAAAACTGTCAGTGACAATAAAAAATGATATCTTTTGACTGTTTGAGAGGTGGAATGCCTTAGAATTTTCCTGACAATACGGACATGACAATCTACCATGTGTGCTCCATCTAGATAACATGTCATATCCAAGGAAGTCACTAATTGTCTACATAAGTGATGCTCTCATAATGAAATGTTGATGCCTAAAGTTATCATATGTCTTGAACCCATTATACCAAAGTTCTTTTAATTCATCAATCAATGGGCGTAACATGACATCAATGTTTTTTCTTGGACTATGAGAGTCTTGTATTATTAGAGAAAGAAAGATGGACTCTAATTTTGTCATGCCCTAGAACCCAAATCCGGGGACATGGCAGACGCCGTGCACTCGTGAGACGGGTCCCACAAATGCACAAGGCTCGGAACTTAATCATATCACAAAATCTGAAGATAAAATCTTAAAATCTGCTCTGATATCATAAAATCTCCAAATACACTCTAGTTTACAAGATCATGATTTATATCTAAAATCTATATCAATCTCGAAATGGCTAGCCTTCTAACTCGTCACTTCCCGTGGTTTTCCTGTCCTCGGTTTCGCTTCCTGAAATGGTGGACAAGGAAAAACTATGAGATAAACTCAGTAAGTAAAATATGGATAGCCCTTAATTAAACTTATAGCATGCCAACCAGTATAATCACGAAAAATAGGTATGAATACGGAAACGAAATAAACGTCTCCTCTATAGGTCACGGCCAGTGTTATAAACCTCCCATTGGTGGGTACAGTAGTAACCAATGTTTTGTTCCATTGGCAGGATTACAGAATACGAACCGGTTCTATCAGTAACATGTCGACATGTGCTAGCATTTATAAACCTCCCTGTCACACCCCAAAACCCGAGTTCAAGGCGCGACAGACGCCGTGCACTCGTAAACGGGTCTCACGAATGCACAAGGTTCGGAACTTACTGAGTTCTTAATTTCCAATTCAGATAATTCAGATCTAAAACTCAAGTAAAATCTAACTTTCCATTACCAAAATTTACTATTTCAGATATACAAAAGTTTATAAACAGTTATGGCTATAACCAAGGGAACTTTGTACGCAAAAATGGTTATTTCTATCAACCATGAGAGACTAGCAGCTTAACTCCAAAAGATCTAAGTCCACAATAATGCCTAGCCGTCTAGCTCGTCACTCCCTCGGTTCTTTATGTATCGGGTATCACTACCTGAAATGGTGGACAAGGAAAACTAGGTCAGATAAAATATCTCAGTAAGTAAAATATGGATAGCCCGTGAGTAAAATTTTAAGCATGCCAGATAAACATTTTAACATAACAAACTTTCAATGAAAACCATTCATGCATAATAAAACTCATTAGTAGTCTCATCCATAGGTCATGGCCAACGTTTATAAACCTCCCACTGGCGAGCACAGTAGTTGCCAATGTTTAACCCCATAGGCAAGGTTACAGAAGTGCCAGTGTTTAACAACTCCCACTGGCAGGCGTCAGTAATGGTGCCAGTGTTTACAACTCCCACTGGCAGGCGACAGTAATTACCAATGTTTAACCCCACTGGTAGGGTGAACCGGTTCTACAGAAATACATGTCGACATGTGCTAGCGTTTATAAACCTCCCACTAGCGGGCACAGTAATCAGTAATCATGACCATATCTGAGACAAAACCATGCAGAGTTTACAGAAAAACCCGGATTTCACAATCAATCCCAATTTCATAAATAACTAGAAAAATTCCATGTGGGCATGGATTTATCAGAAAACTCAAAATTTACAAACTCTCAGTTCATCAAAACAGTTCAGTCAATTCCAAATAGGCATGTTGTACTCAATACCAATGAAAACAGTTTCATTTCAAACCAATCATGCTCAGTGCAATAACTCCAGAAAAACAATGAAATTCTCACTTTCATTCCAATCATGTTCAATTCCAGAAAACAGTGAAATTCTCATGAAAACCATCACAATTTCCATTTCAGTTTAATCACATTCAGATGCTGATAAAATCAATTTAAAATCAATTTAAAATCAATTTAAACCTTGCCACCATCTCAAAAACAATTAAAACATACTTTAAAATCGAAGGGCTTTACCATAATTTACTTATCTCAATCGCATCAACAGCACCCTAATCCCAAGTGCTAGAGGGCAGAATAATCAAGTACCTAATCAAAATATTTCCCAAAATTAATACCCATCTAAAACAACACATTTAATCCTTTCCCAATAGCTGACACTTAACCCCCATAATATCCCATCAAATTCTCCCATTTACTCACGGGCAACACATGGTGAGCATGGCTTGGCAAACCACAACTCACACACACGGAATCCTTTTTCCAGATAAATCACACAGCAACTAAATCAAGAAATTTCTACCTCAACCAAGCTTAAAACGTGTTTTATGCTACCCAAAATCATCCCAAAATTTTAGCACGATCTCGGACAACACAAGCAACTAAATGGACAATACCTACTTGATAATTGAACTTAAAAAGGCTGTCCATCATACTAGGAAACTCCAGCAAGTAGCACCGGGCCCGGCTGGGAAGGAAGCCGACGAGGAGAGAAATGGAGGAACTCACGGCAAACTTCAAAATTCAAGAACCCACAACACAATTAGAGTAACCCAACTTGAATTAAGGCTAAGGGATGATTCTTAGTTGTTCCCTTACCAGAAAACCGGGAAGCACTCCACCAGCAAGAGCTGCTCGCGGAAGGACAGAGCAAAGCAAAGCAGATTCGGAAATTTGCAGAAGAGAGGGGGATTTCTGGGTTCACTTCCAACCCTAGAACAAGAAAGAAGGAGAATTCTCCGAGTTTTTGCCGGTGTTCCGGCAGGAAAAAGGGGGGGCGGTGGCTGGGGCTCGTCGGCTGTAGAGGGTCGGGGAAGAGGAAGAAAAGAACACGTGACTGGATGAGGAAGAAAAAGAAAGAAAGAAAAAGGAAATCTTTGCCGACCTTATCCAAATTTCCCTCTTTTAAGCCCCTTGACCTCAAAGCATTTTACTATTAAGTCCATTAATAAAAATCTCTCACAAGCGGGCACATGAATAACATGACCATATTGGAGACAAAACAGGCAGAATTTAACAAAAAATCATACTTCACCAATCACTTTCAGATCATCAAGACAATCAATTAAATTTCAAGTCAGCATGCTCAATTTAATGAAAAGCATAAAAATCTCACTTCAAATCGGTAAAAAGAATAATAATCTTATTTCAAATTAATCATGCTCATTTTTGTAGAAAACGGGTTTAGTCCCACCACCACTTCAAAAACAAGTCAAAACATGCTTTTAAAAACTGTACGGGCATTACCATAAATTTACTTACCTCACTCGCATAAAATCGAAGACTCAATCTTAGTGCTACACTGACAGAACGATCAGGAACCTAATCAAAGTACCCAAGAATTAATACCGTACTATCACAATTTCAAAGTGAAACTTCATTAGGATTACCCCTAATCATGATGCTATTCCTATCAATCTCCACATGATCAGATATCTCCAAATTGATTCTTATATTACAAACTAAACATTTAAATCCCCATTAATTGTTCGCCATCAGTGCGTGAACAGTACTCGTGAACAGTCCATGTGAACAGTAACTGATATTTCCAAAATTCAACTACAACCAGCTAAAAGACCAGAAAAATGGATATTTCATCAGATTTTTCAAAGCAGAAACGGATTGAAAAGGAGCAGAAAACAGTAGCAAATTGCAGAATTTTCTGCGTGAACAGTAACTGATACGCATGAACAGTAACTACACTTCCATAGAAAACAGTAGCAAATTGCAGAATTTTCTGCGTGAACAGTAACTGATACGCATGAACAGTAACTGCACTTCCATAAATTGGCAAAACCATAGCTAATCTCACGGGATTTCTCTCCAAAAATCACAACAGCCAACTCAAGCAATTTACACATGAATTAAGCTTAATTATGCTCTAATTACTACCCAAATTCATCCCCAATTTTCAACAAATTCGGACGGCATTGGGCAGCAATTAGATGGCTAAATTTCAGCAATTAAATGGGTGGAATTTGGACTTAAAGAAGCTGCCACATACCAGAATTTTCCCAGCAAAAACCGAACTGCAGTTTGGGGGAAGAGGCCGACGGCAAGTGCAGGGGGAATTCACGTAATCTACCAAAAATTAGAGAAATCAAGAGAAATCAAAGTTATCCCAAGCTAATTCAAGAAGGAAAAGAGGAATTAATGGCTGTTCTTACCGACAAATCAAAGCAATTCACCCCCACAAAGCAGGAGCAGCTGGCGGTGAGAAGCAGAGCAGAGCAGATCCGGGATTTCTGCAGAGAGGGGAGAGATTTCAAGGCTCTATATGTGTTCTAGAAAAAGAAAAGAAGGAGAACTTTCAAGCTTTCTACCGGTTTTCCTCAAAAATTGTTGCTGGCAGCTTGGGGGGATTTCGGGAGTTGCAGGGGAGAAGAAAAGAAGAGCAGATGCGTGGGTTGAAGAAGAAGAAAGAAGAAAAAAATACCCGGTCCTTATCCAATTATTTTCTCTCTTTAAGTCCCTCAACTTTTGAAATTTTGGCTATTAATCCCAAAACAATATTTGTCCACAATTTAGTCCTTAACTTAATGCTAAAATATTACAAAATTTTGGGGTATTACAAATTTCATACACATTGATGGAGGTAGATTGTAGTAAAAAATACAGGCCAACATGAATATGAGGTTAATGTATGTCCAAATAAAGTGAACCCATTTATACACAATCTAAGCCTTACATTCCTTGAATCTAACCCAAAGTTAGGGTAGGTGCAATAAAAGTGTTTCCATGCCTCAACATCGATAGGATGCACAATCTTTTCAGATTCATCACCACAAGTAAGGTGCCATATCATATGCTCAACAGTTTTTCTACAAATGTACTACCTTTTCAGTTTAGGTGTAATTAAGAGATACCACAATGACTTCCTTGGTATATGTTGATTTTGTTGCACATATCCCTGTTTATAATGAGGTTCACCACATACTAGACATGTAATGTAGTTTTTGTTTTCATATTCACCATAATATAAGAAACAGTTATTTATGTAAACATCATACTTCTTATAACCTAGACTGAAGCGCCTCATCATCCTGTAAAATTTTTTTGAAATCCTATCCTGATCCTCTAATTTAATCAATCTCCTATTGCAATTTAATATATAATCCCAATTAACCACACATATTATAAAGTGTCTTTGCATTAATAAAATAAGACACCCATTTGAGTATTGTGTCACCCTCATCACATCCATCATAAAGTGGCATGTTAGCAGTTTGTAAAAGATCAAAAAATTCCTTTGCATCTCCCATTGCCTCCTCGAAGATTGGCTCATCACAGGCTTGTTTATTGATATTATATTCTATATACCATGTGAACTTATTATATTCATAACCATCTCTCTAATTGAATCATTAGCTGGCCATCATAGAAGGAGTTGAGCTCGAGGATTCCCCCCCATTGATTACGTTGCTGCCCTCGCATTGATTGTTCTTCGTGTGCTAGCCAAACTAAATACCCATTCATAAAACCTTTTTCTACCAGATGACACTGAATAGTAACACGTTGATGTCATTCTTAATTGGTTAAATCCCCATTTTGGTCCTTGAACTATTGTACGGACCCCCGATTTGGTCCCTGAACTAAAGAAATCCCTGATTTGGTCCTTCAACTATTGTACGGACCCTCGATTTGGTCCCCACTATTTATAATTTGGCCTAAGTTGGTCCTTGAACTATTGTACGGACCCCCAATTTGGTTTTTAATGTTTACAATTTCGCCCCAATTTGGTCCATGAGCTATTATTTAACAGAA